CGAACGTGTAAATATTTGGAAACAATATTTTAGCCTAGAAATATATATAAAGTATGTTAAAATAATGTTGTAAAAAGGTTGGAGACAAGTTAGTGATACACCAAGTCCTTCTAGGGAAATAAATATTGTGCCAGTAAAGTAACTTGCCATAATTTTTGAGGATATGCATTACTTTTTTGAAATTCGCTATGAATAAAATGAGTTTCAGTGTAAAATGGATTTCAATTAAAAGGCCGATAAAATAAAATGATTTGTTTTAACTATATACTATTAAACTTCATTTTTATTAACAAATAAAAAAAAAAAACATTATTTAGGAATCTACAAATATTAATTCGGAATTTTCACACAATAGATGTGCCCAGCAAATCGAAAATTGAACATAAATTCAATACTATATTACCTCTTTGATTTTTTTTTTTTTTCTTACAATGTATAATACCTCCAGTATCATACATCATTTATCCTTTTGTTTTTTTTTTAAAAAAAAAAAATCAAATCAAAAGTAAATAAATAAATAAATTAAAAATAATAAATTAAATAAAAATAATATTGTATTTGAAAGTTCTCGAATCTATCCAAAATTACTTCTAATACAAACAAGAAAAATTATTACAAATATTAATCCCAAATATCCCAAATATAATGTTATTTAGCTTTGATCATCATTATGATCATTACTTTTATCGTTATGTGCATCTGGATATAATAAGTCATCAAAACTACGAGCAAAAACTACAGATTCTGCTTCGCTTGGATATACATTCCCCGTTCGTTGATGACTTGGAGATAAAGTACTTGGCATGTTATTATTATTTGTTTGGTGGTAATGTGATAAAGGTAGATTCAAAGAATGTTCACTTGAAGCAGTAGGAGTAAATAACATCAAATCATTTAACTCATACGTTTTTGTTGTTGAGTAAGCAATTGGAGATATTGTTTGTGCTGTAAATTCATCTGATAATTCATCATCGTTATCAATTGCAATATGTGATGTAGATGAGTTACTATCTAAATTTATATTGCTTATACGCGATGACTTGATATCACGAAAATCGGTTTTTATGTCATTGCTTTTTAATCTACTCATTCTAAAAATACCGGGACTGCCACCACTACTAAATCTTTTCGAAGAAAATGAAAATATTCTGCCATCCCCAAAATGTTTTCCTGAAATACTTAGTCGTTTCTTATCTGTGATACCACTTAACATTCCCGTTTCTGAACCTTCAGCATTACTTCCACCTTCAACACTAATAGTATCCCATTCATTAATATTGTCACTCTTTAACTCATCCTCTTCATAATCAAATTCATCGGTTATTACGGGAGAA